CAGGAATGCGGTTTATTATCGACATAAGAAGTCCCTCTTTCCACAGAGAGCAGTAAACTCCTGGAACTTGTCACCACAGGAGGCTGCAGAGGCAGACAATATTACACAATTCAAAACGGATTTACACAAATTCAGTGGACAATGGGTCCCTGATCAAATACTAAAGGGAACAGGCACAGATGTACCCCCAAACATCCCTGGCAACAATAATTGAGCACGAGGTGAATGGACCACAAAGGTCCATACAGCAAAGCTCACACAGTGTCTCACTAAATACCATCTTCCATTGTCACAGGCAGAATACTGGGCTTCATGGAGACCCAGAAAAGCATTTTTACACTCCAGATGTTATTCACCTGGGCCAATCCCCGCCCTACCAGTTGCAGCTGGATAGAGACAGCACTGTCTTAAATTGGAAATCTTCATCTCTCCACTGCCTCCTCAGTTCAGTTTCATTTCCCCTGTATTATTTTGATTATTCATCTCGTCATACATTCATACCACGAAACTAGAAGAGTGCACTACCACCCCCTCAACATTCTAGCAATACCATTCTAGAGAAAATATCATAGAACACAGACACATCACCAGGCAGGGACCTCTCTTATACTACTGTGAATCCTTTTGTGACAACAGTTTTACACCACAAGGTACAACCCGTCTCCACTGCAACCTGCACAGACAGACTTTGGAAACACAACCAGAACAGGTACAGGGCATCTAACAAAACCAATCTTACTCAAGTTCATTAGTTTTTCTTCTCCCACCTCAGTAATGCTGGTCCAATAGGCTCTTCCTCCATATTCAGTCCCAATCCAAAATGCTCAAGTTACGTCTTTGCTGATCTCCAGTGACCACAACGGTCGATCAAAACTGAAAACAAGCTTTCAAAGCTGACCAAACAAGTGGATTCCAAGCTTGCAAAGAGGTTACCAAACAAGTTTAATAAAGTGCTGGGCTTGGCATGGCACTAACACCGCCCTTCAGCAAGCGTCTGTGACGGAAACAAGTATCACCTAATGCGGAAGAGGACTGTGATTATCTGTCACAGGCTGAGCCTCAGTAGGGTAAGGCTGCAGCTGCTGGAATAATGGAGAGTCTGCTATAAAAAGCACATTGCTTGACAGCTCCAGAATTTTGGCGAGAAAAAAGGCTTCCTGAGTTCTCCCAGCATCATTACCAAAAACACTTATTAGACAAAGACTCGTTTCAAGAATGAGCAGATCAAGACTTTCCCAATTGAAACTATGCAGACAGACTTGTTTCAACATTACTTGCTCCCAAAGGGAGTGGGAAGGTCCTTGAGATACTCAATGCAACAATCAGTGTGCAAGTCCTCCAATGCCTCAGCACTTTTATATTCAGAACTCAATTTGTAGTCATTTGGAGGAGCAAAGTTGTGGGACATAGCATATTAAAAAAAAATAAAAAATATCTGTGTTTATCCATTTTTTCCCCAATTTAATCCCATATCAGCTCAGTCAGGACTCTCTCCTGCATTGCGTACAGTCAAATTAGTCTCAGCTACTTACTAACTACAGAGAAACCAAATACATTACACTAATAATCCATAATCCCCTGTCATTCTTGTTCTGTTTAAAAACAGGGTCTGTGTTTAAGCACCAGTTTTTAAAGAAAGGTCACCAGATAAATTTAGATCTATTCAGTTTGTAGGCTGCGGTAGTTTGTTTTTAGATACATTGTTTACTGAGCAAAAAATAATAATATGATTTAGCTGCCAAGAACTTTTCCCATGGAAATTATTTTTATGTTTATTATTTATATTATAATTATTTTTAGGTGACCTTTTTCAAAGCCTCCGGAAAATAGTTAACAAAGAAACAGTACAACTGCAAGGACTCTTTCAGAATTATGATCAACATGGCAAACTCATACAGCTCACAGGTATACTTCAGTACTGAGACTACAGAAAACACACTTTAAATTGCATTCAGCCTAGATCCAGAGAACTTTGTTCATGCAGGAGCAAGGCTTCCCTGACGGGATGCCGTGTACCTAGCAATACTGAGGCTGGTAAACTGCGTATTAAAGTTTCTGACCACATCATTAAACTAAATTAAGACACAAGGGGCATTGCATACACATTGCAATCATTGGAGCAACACTAAGTAAGGAAGTTCACAGTCTGGAAGATCACAGTCAGGTTTCTATATCCAAAGAAGGCAGGCACAAAAACCATGGAAATCCAACAGAAGAGTAAGAGAACTTTGGAATATGCCATCAGCAAAGACACCAGAAACCTTACAGTTGAATCCCAGTGCCACACTTTTCACATTAAACCCTACAAAGCCAGCCACCTCTTCTTAGTCTACTGTGCTCACCTCATGAGTCCACCTGTCTTATGCGGAGGAGACTTTTCTGCCTGCTTCCCTCTCTGCTTCATGTCAGACAGTCGCTGCCGCATGTTGATGGTCATCTCTGAGCTCAGACGCCAGATGAAGATACAGCTGAAAGAGGGAAGGGTGAGGCTGGGGTCAAGTCTTCGTTCAGTTCATTGATATTATCAATTCCCATTGCAGAGTCAAACAAGAGCCCTTCTGTCTGTGGCGGGGACACGCACACGCAGAAACAGCTTCACAGAAACTCAATCCCATCCCAAGCCTCATGACGAAAAGGTAAAACCTGCCTGGCAAAGACTCGCTGTGGGCGAGAGCAACTGCAGAGGTATTTGCACAGACTCATCTCTGATCCTATACGTTTATTTGACTATCTGACCAACTGCTGAAGGAAATGCAGTAACAAGCCCCTCCATGGTCAGCAGGATAAGTGGAGCCTGCAGTCCGTTGCATCCTCCAACAGCGGCTAAGCTCCAGCCTCTGATTGCAACTATCCCCATGGGCAAGGCCATCCTAATGCCTGCCATCTCATGGAGTCTCTGGTGATGTAATAACAGTTAAGCTTATGTGTCAGCACTTTTTGCAGCCAGGGTACTTCTAATATTTTACTTGGACACCCTCCAGAAACCTTCTAAGGAACTTGATTGAATTTGGTCAATGGATTCAAAAATCATTCAAGAGAGGGAAACAGTGTGATCCCATTTTCTTCAGAAATCTGGCTAACAAAAAAAGAAAAAAGAAAAAAAAAGGAATTCCTCATCACATTAGAGGATACTGTATCTCATCTTCAGCTACTAGAAAGTAAAGTGACAAGCATTTTCTTTGATATTTAACCTCACTGCTAACTAATTCCTTTCATCTCACTCATCTTTCCTGTCTAGCTGGGTATACTTACACTGATGTAGAAACAGAGGCGGTGCTTTTACTATCATTTATAAAATCCTGCACACTAATTTGGAATCCAAAAAGGATTTAATCAAGTTCTTCAAGACCCATCAGTGCCACCACACTCATGGGTACTTCCAATTCACCAAGGAGTTTTCAGAGAGGGGCTTTCCCCTCTTCCTTGCTAGTTCATTTGCTCTGCCATTTTGAATAATGGCCAGGAACTTGGTCTCCTGGACTTCAGGCAAATGCCAAAAGCAGCAGGATGCTGAATGCCTGCATCTTCTCCATTTCTTCCCTCTCACGAGAGGACGTTTTAAAAGGTTTTAGTTCCATGCCACATAAAAAGAAAACAGAAATCTCACTTTGCAGGCTGTGGAGATTTTAATGAAAAACTAGTAATTCCCTTCTTGGCCCCTGTGCCACTCCCTTTGCAACAAAGCTCAGGAACGTCACTCCCAGATACTGAAGTCACACACAGACAGACACGCTTCCCATCAACAGTGAACATGCTGTCATCCTCCCTCCCTAGCTTTTCAGCCAGGAGAAAGTGGTGAGGCACTGCATCTGGGAACTATGGCAACCCAGGGCAGCCAGCTGCTTCCCGTCAAGCAGCAGCCCTCTCGAATGCAAGAGTAACCATAATCTGCTGCTGAGAAAATACTGAAAAGCAGGAAACAAATTTCAGAAAGCAAGCCTGGCTTGTTCATTTATCCCACCCCCACAGCTATCAAACCTAGAGATAAGCAGCAAACAGTATGAACTTGTAAATACATTAACAATCACCACAAAGCTCTACAGAAGCACGCTTCCACCTACCCCTTTTGCTGCCTTTTTTTTTTTTTTCCTTGCAGGACTTTTCTTACATGGGTCTCCCAGACCTTGTGCCCGTCTCAATCTCCATTTCTCTTTCTATTCTCAGTTTTATTCTTTGCACATGCTGCTGTGTGTGAACAGACTATTTTGCCTGTCCTCCTTTGAAAAATGTGCTTTCTGCTCTCCTTACAGCAAAGTTCTTCATGAATCCTTTCCTTACTTCTCCTCTACCTCCTCCACAGTCTTAGTAAAGAAAATGACCCTTTCGCTCATGGAAATGGTGTACAAGGGAACATTGCACTAAATAACAAGGATCACTGGGGACCTCAAACCTTCCATGTTTCTGGAATTTATCAGAAATCCCCAACAAAAGGACTCTCTTTTCTCTTTTGCCCTAATCTATTTACACCCAAAGATAAAAGATAAAGAAAGAGGAAAACCAAATTATTTACTGTTTACTGAAAGACAGAAATAACCAACTGATGCAATTTAAGGTGATACATTGTATGTTCTGTAAAAACTCACCCTATAAAACTTTTTCCAGTTCAATTGTGGTTTATTAATAGAAGAGAGAAAACGAGAGAAAATCTGGGTTGCTCAGGCCTTGAAATAGCACTCCAGGAACCACCTTTCTCAAAGGAAAAAATTTATTCTGTTCAGCTGATTTAAGCATTCACCAATTCCGGAAGTAGTCAGTCCACTCACCTCTACAATCAACACATTAGGCATGTATTCTCCTTTTCCCCTTGGGCTCAGTATGGTGATTACTTAAGCTTTTGGCAAGCTGATTTAACTCATTAGATCGGCAGAAACTCAGCTGGGGGGGCTGCTGACGTAGTGACCTGAATCAGCTTCATGAGGAGTCAACCGCACCACAGCTGACTTAGGGGAGCAGAGAAGAGGACCATTGGGACAGGAGCAAAGAGTGGGGACAGCCCTGTCACTTTTGCTGCTAGACAGATTCATTCACCTGGTGAAAACTCACCAAGAGGAGACAAGGTTTTGGCACCACTGATCAGAATATCACAAGCTGCATTACACTACAGACCACACATCTGTCTCCTTTCCAGCAGGGAATAGAACCTACACTCAGAAAACCACAAGGGAAGCCCTTCACATGGGCATCTCATTCCATGGAATGATAATAGAAGCTCTGTGAGCTTTGCTGACAGCATACATTTAGGATTCAGAAAGCTCTGAGGTTTCTTTGGAATTCATAAAACATCCTTTGTTATAAAAAAACAAAAAAACCCACAACTGCCTTCCTTCAGGACACATTTTAAATGCAGTGTGAGATGGCATGAGCTGGTATCATGGATAAGCAAACCCCTCTTACCTGTCACCAGAAACAGAGATCAGGTGTTTGCAGTCATTACTGAATTTCATCCCGGTTACAATCTCTGTGTGAAATAAAGCACAAGAAAAAAAAACACAAAACTTTCCTGAATTATTGCAATGGACAGAAGAGATCATTTGCCAAACAGCCTATTTGTGCTCTACACCTCAAATTCTCATTAAAGCCACTTCACAGATCAATATGCCCCAATTACCACAACCATTTGACAAGGAATCTAGGCTTGACATAGAAGGGGTATCCCACAGCAAAATAAGTACGAAGACCGAAGTCTTTTTGTCTATAATAGAACAGCCCCTGCTGAGGGTACATCATAAAGAAACTTAATATACGCTGAAAAAACAGAGACTACCTTATAGACTGTTAGAAAAACAGTGTAAAAAAAATACATGGCCTGACAGGCTTGTGTGTGCTTTTGTTTTGCGATGCAAAATAAGGTCTGAAAGAAGTTAAAATTGTAATGAAATAAGCTATTACAACCTCATCCAACCATAACCTGCTCCAAAATACCCATTGGGTAAACTCTGGCGGGGCAGAACCTTCAGAAAGCTTTGACTAGAATCAGACCCTGCTATATAGTCATCAGCAGAAAAATTGCACTTCCAGAGGTTTAGGTTCCTTACCCGAATGTCCATACATTGTTGCAACACACTCGCCAGAATAGAAATCAAAGATGGAGAGGTTCTTGTCCGAACAACTGGTTGCAATGTAAAGACCAGAGGGATCCGTTTGCACCTGGTTTAAGAGATAAGAGAAGTGCAAAGACCTGGTGAGAAAGTCCCTTCAAACTGCAAGAAAATGGTCCAGAATACCCAAGACAGTCATAGTAGTCAAAAGAATAAAATGCAAGTAGCTCCCACTGAGTACCGGGCTATCCAGCATCCCAGAACAAATCTCCAACCTGGCTAAACTGTTAAAACTATCTCCAACCTCATCAGAGACCAAAGGCACTTACATTAAACGCCCTCACAAATGTGAAGGCACCAACAGACAGACCTATACCCCTCTCTCCTACCTCCTTTTAACCACTGGGGTCTTACTTCCTTCTATATTAAGATCAAAACCAAAAAAAAAAAAAAAAACAAACCAACCCACACATGCCAAAACACCACTCCCCCTGCAAAAAAATAATCAGAGCTGACAGAATTAAGCGAAATATCAGAAGACTTAATCTTGAGGAGGGAAACCAAAAAGAACTCAACACTGCAGAGAAATTGCCTTTGATAATGGTGCTGTAAAATCTCCAGCATTTGCAACTCCCGTGTTTAGGTTGTTTTGGTTTATTTTTTTCCATATACACCCATTTGTTACTTTATCTTGGATCAAATATAAAACCGCCTCCAAATGCCTCACTAGCTCTAAAGCAGCGCTACACAGCAAATACAGCTACTGTCACTAAATATCCCACTTTGTCCTTTGTAGAACTTTAAGGAACTGAGAGTGAAAATGTCTGGGTTTTGAGGGAGACACGGTATTTAAATAATGATAACTTTTTGGTTATGTTTATTTTGCTGCTGTATCTTTTGCTTTGCATGCCAATGTTAGGGTTCTACTTGCTAAACTGCAATGTATATTATGATCTCAGAACAACATACCAAGAAAGTTTAAATTTCAGAGACAACCATAATCCCTTGGTTACATAATTGTCCTAAAAATGAACACAGCAACATTAAAACTAATTGAGATTCCCCACTTGAGCTACACATGAAAAAAAAAAAAAAACATAAAGGATATTAAAAAAAAAAAATCTAGCTCCTAGCAACATTTCATGGTTTGTGGTCTGAGAAAGACATAGTCAAGCACCTGAGCTTATCAGCAATAAAGCATAACATCAACTTTTCATTTTCATTACTCTGGCTTATTAAAAAAAAAAACCAAACCACGTAGCAATTATAATAGGCAAAGAGAAAGAGGACTTATCTTTCTCTGCAAAACAGAAGACGTGACATTCAATGAAGCTGTTTGCTTTCCTCTCCCTTTTTACCTAGTTATTTACACCCATCAATAATACTGCTGGCCTGTGCAGCTGAACAGAAATACTTGGTTTAAAATGTAGAAAAATTATCAGTGACAATAAATACGATGAAGCAGCTTTTTTGACAACTTAACTTGAGAGATATTTTGGTTGTGTCAACTGATCTTCCCCCTTTAAAGACAAAAATGCAATTCTTCCACATCCCAATATACTGGCATCACTCTTAACACTGAATCTTTAACACACGCGGTTTACCAGAGGAAGCCCAGGATGGTGGCAGAAGCAGGCATGCTACCCTACCCCACAGCCTGGATGCACTCAGCAGGTGGGAAACATGAACAGAATCTCTCTAAGAGGTAGCCGGCTTCCCCAGCACTCCAAGTTCCAAAGAATATGGGCTCTCTGGGGCAGATGCTACTTAATTTCATCAACTCGTGAAGAGTTTCACTTGTATTTGCCCTCTGGCAACCACAAATTTCTCAAACTCTGATCAACAGGCAGCTCCACCTTGACAATCCTAACAGAAATAGTCGAGAAAGCAAGAATGAACTCTCTGGAGCAGAAAGTAAAGTATTAAGTGGACTAAATCATCTCCTGACAGATATTGGTGCAGTCATACTTGCTTTTTACAAGCATGGGCCTGTGCTTCACTTCAGAAACAGGACAGAGAGAGAAGTGATGGAACCCAAATACATTACCAGCCCTTAAGGATGGAGGGAGAAGGAAGCAGCAGCAGGATAAGAGACAAAGTATGTGTGTTGCCCTTTCTATGAAGAAGTCCTTTGGGGGACCTTACATAATGTTTTGCATGACTGGGTAGGCACCAGTAAAGCTAGATTCCTTGTTCCTACATGTCAATGAAACCAAGATGAAATTTGAACTAGATTAGCTCTGTCACTGGAATTATACTTTGCTATTGTAAAACAAAAAAAAAAAAAGTTAAAAAAAAAGTTACTGTGTTCAGATTCATAATTAATTTTCTTAGCCCTGAGCTACATTCAGAAGAGCTGGAAAAAAGGAAAAGGGAAGAAAGAAAGAAAACAGCTTACTTTGATGAGGGTGCCATCTTCACCTTGGGATCCTTTGTAAAGCTTCTTCTGCTTCCCACTGCTTATGTTGAAAACCCTGAGGTGGATGACATAAGACAACATTGCTCATTTTGCCCAGGTACTTCTCTGTGGCTCTTGTCACCAGGATGCTTTTCTCTTTCTGCTCCTCATTGCACATGAGATACAGGGAACAGGGCCAAGCCACAAAACGCGGAGATATGACCTCTCTATGAACTATAACCACCAATCATTTAAATGGTTCAAGAAACAAGCTCGAAAGTAATGTAGGTGCGCAAGACTGGATGACATGATATCAAGCGTATTATCTGAATTAAAATTAAGGCTTGATTCTCAAGCCAATAATCAAAAACAAGTATAGCATCATGGCACTGAAGGAGAGGTCAAATGGGAGGGAGAAAACCTTGCCATGCCTTGTAACGGCTATGTATGGTTATGTATCTTAATAAGCTTCAGTCAGTCCTCCCTGCTATAAAAATACCTGTGGTTCCTTCATACTAAAGGAAAGGGTTAAGAGAGCAAGACCCTTTATTTACATTAGAATACAAAACCAAATTACATTCAGCAGTCGTATTTAGCTATGACCAAAACTCTTGGCATCTCACCCAGATACAACAGGAGGAGACACACAACTACAGAGAGTCTTCTTTGCTTTGAAAGGTAGAAGCAGACAGATTGAAGAAATGGATAAAAAGGGAGCAGAGAATGGATTCCACTTGTCCAAAGACAGTCACACCTAGCTCAATTTTAGGTTCCTACAGTCCCAGATATTCCACAGGAGCTCACAGCTTCTCACTAGACATACCTTTAAACGCAAGTGCCACAGTGCAGAAGTTCTCTCCCCACAGCTCAACAACACACCAAGGAAGGTGCACCCACTCTCCCAGTAGAAAGGCTTTGCTCTGCAGAGCAACCCATCAAGAAGCCAAAAGTCTGGTGGGCATTTGCATATATCCACAGCTTTTTATCAGCAAGGGGAAATGCAGAGTTCAACCTTACAGAGTGTGAGCTGAGGCCTCAGATCTGCCTGAAAATGCTGTGTCAAAGAACCTCGAGGAACAGTGATGGAGATGGGGCCGCCTTGGCCAACTCATTTATGACTGCAAAAATATTTTCAAGATGAGAAGTAAACTAACCTGATGTTACGATCCTGGCATCCAATAGCTGCGTATTTCCAGCTGGGGTCCACATCCATGTCATATAGAGTGGTCTTCCTAACGATGTGATGTGTTCGGGTAAACTGAACCCCTTCTCCTGTCTAAGCATGTGGGTAAAGACTGTGTCAAAATCAAGCAGTTAACCCCTTATTAAAAACCTCTATATACAGATGAATCCTCTCACACAGCCAGCGCAAACCAACCCTTCCCACTAACAGGTCTGCTAGGAGCAGCTGGGACTGGAGGCACAATGAACTCCTCTCCAGCCCATACTCTCACCACTCCTCACAGGAGCCCTGGCAGCAAAAGAAAACCAGATATCCTAACAGTTCTCTACTTTGCATCTTGCTAAGAGAGGTCAGGCTGGGAGCAGCTGAGTGCTTCACAGAACTAGCTCTCCAAATGTGATCTCTTGCATTGAGTCAGTGGGAGACACTGAAATAGCGACAAGCTCACACAGAAACTCTGATATCACTCTTTAAAGTAGTTCCTTTGTGGAGAGATTATTAAAAATAAGTGCACAAAAAGCTGTAATAAGGTTACCTTCTGCGCAGTGCGGAAATAGATGCTCTTGTCTGCCCCGCAGCTTATCATTCTCACTTTCCCATCATTGGCTGGAACAAAAAGGCAGGAGTTGATCGAAAGATAAACACAGGTACAAGATGGAGGAAATGTTTCAGTTTATAACACCACTCATTTATTTAGTCCTGATTAGCTAAGACTGACTCCGACCTAAGCAGCAGGATGCTGCAGCAAAAAAAAAAAAAAAAGCCCATTCTCAGGGACAGCATTTATTAATGCTATGAGTGCACGAGGCCTTAATATAGAGGCTTTACACAACAGATTATGATGTAATTCTGTCTTCTCCCCCAACAGTATGCTCACGTGCTCATTCTCTATCTGCCACAACACTCTGTGGCAATATGACAAGTTCGTACTTAGTACAAGCTGAAAACAGGCAACAGGCACTTTGCAGTTCTCAAAGTCAGTCATGTGTTTCTTGCTGCCCTTTCTTACTGCAGGGTCAGGCTTTCCCTCTTCCCCTAGCACTCTTTCGTAACCAATCTGCTCCTTCAGCAAAGCAACACCTGATAAAACTCCATGTAATGAAAACAGATCCAATATCACACAAGTCCATTTGAACTCCACCCACTTAAGAGCAGGACTGCGCTTAGCTTACAGATTAGCACAAAACCCTTCCCTGCCAGGGCCTTGAGCGCCGTTCCCCCATCTCCTAGGAGCTTAGCTGACTGTATCCAAGGCCAGCTCACTGATAAGGCAAACCTGCCAGAGAAACTTTTGCTGGCCTTGGAGCTCCTTAAGAAAGAACATGAAAAAGCCTCACAGCAGCTTCAGTGAGTCTCTGATACGAAGCTTCAGTAAGGTTCCCGCCCTTCACTTGGGAGCTACTTTCAAGCTGAGGTTCTCATGAAGATGGAATGCAGTAGCATTGCAGCCACACATGTGCCTGGTGATAGACCCCACTGATCTGAATCCTGACCCTGACCCATGGACTCAGCTTCTGGATTTGATCTCGAACCTGCCTTGCTGCCATGGGCTTCCCTGGCAGGCACTGAACTGTGGCTGACCCTGCTCACTATCTCCGGAGCGATCCTTACCTTGAATTGCTGACCTGTCTTACCACTATGGATTTGTCTGGTGATCTGGACTACTGGCTGGATGTAGTTACTGTCAGCAGACTTGATCTGTTCCACCTTGTTCAGGTACAGTACTGTGGGACCTTCCCATTGCCAGTGAGGCCACTACCTTTGCATGCCTTCCTGTCACACTTGGCTACTGACTTCCCCTGGCAGAGCAGCCAACCCTTGTTGTTCCTCAACAATAGCACAGGACACCACACTGATGTCTGACCATCAGTAGTAACCGAGTGCTGGGGATGCAAAGTGCTCCATTACCATCAATGTAAAGTCTTACAGTGGTTTGCAATGACAAATTTACTTGTCACTACTTAATCCCAAAGCGTTTTTTTTGGGGGGGGGTGGTTGGGGATTTTGAGGATGACTGTTCTACAGTTCTCCTCACCAAGAACAGCACGTAGCCAGCCAACATCAGTTAAAGGGAGTAAATCATTACAGAAAACAGCTTTCCAAAGAAATGCTGAGGACTTCAATCAGGAGAAGTTTTTTGAGTGGGGAGGAAGGAGTGGAGAAAAAAAACAAAAGGGAAAAGGTGGAAAGTATTGTCAAATATCACCTTCTGTTACAACTGCAGCTACAGAAGATGACAAAAAAGCAGCTGCAGCTTCAGCCTGGCCTAACCAAGTGTTTAAAGCAGTTAAAATTACTTTACAACCACAATGTGAAAACAGCCATGCTCAAATCCAGCTTTGGAGGGAGGCCATGATTCTCTACCTGCAAACTTCACAGCAGTGATGGAAGAAGAATGTTCATCCAGGGTCTGCTGCAGGCTATAGTCCTTTCCAGCATCCAAGACATGAATCAGTCTATCCCGACTGGCTGAGGCTAAGAGTTTTAAGCCTGTCAGAAGGTTAAAAAGAGTGGAAGACCATTACCAAAAAGTCATTTGCTCCTCCAGACACTATTTTAAAACAGCTTCTCAAGTCATCTTAGGGACAAAACATTATACTGGAGATAACTGCATGGATGGACACAAAGGAACACCCCTGGATTTCACACCATAATAACAGACAGAACAATCTCAACCTACAATATTCCAAGAAAAAGCAGAAGAAAGAAGCCTTTTTCGAAGTCCAGCTCTACTGGCCCAACACTACAAGCCTGCTCTGAAATGCAAGAGTAGCTCAACACTGAAAGTTCTGACATGCCATGGTTGGGCATTCTGACTTGCTCAACACTAAGGGAAGAAGCTCAACTGCACTTACCTGTATCAGGTTTGGAGTACTCCAGACATAGGATCTCAGAGTCATGGGCTTCCACCTTCAGCATTTCCCTCAGAGACTGCAACTCATATATCCTAAGACACAACATGCCTGATTTCAGTATGTTTAATAAAATTAGCAAGACCTGGTTTTAATTCTCATGCCTGCTGAGCCTGCAATCTGCAAAAGAAGCTCTATGGTATTACCTGAGAGTGCCTATCCTGTCCCCCGAGGCCAGGTGCTCCCCACTGGGACTCACACAGACAGTGCGTATCCCCACCTTTGTATCCATTACTTGCGCATCAGCTTTGTCTGCACTTCCTGCTGAGTTGTAATCAGTGTCCAGAAGTACCTGAGTGTTGTCATCTACATAGATGATTTTCATCAAGTCCTGGGGATACAAGACACCCGGAAATATTAACTAGTTACAAAATATTCGAGTGAACCATCTATCTTAGGAACTGGGCTCCTGGCCAACATATACACGTCATTGGAAGTAATGCTGTAATTGGTGGGATCTTTTAGCTAGGAGCAAGCACTCGCCCCCTTCACGTTGTAGGATAAAGGTTTCACAGCTGTGTCTCATGATCACCCTTTGCAAAAGATTCCCCTTCAAGCTGAAAATGAACAGTAACTCCTGCACAACAGACAAGCTCTGGGATTAATGATTACAATGTAGTAGGGGACACAGCAGGGATCTGAAAGACTTCTGCAGATCATCCAAGTCAGCCCGTGCCTTTTGAGAACTCTCTGAGAGAAAAAGCTGGAGCTTTTTCCACCATGAGCAGATTATTGAGAATGGGCAGGTCAGGGCTGCTGTGCCCACGGATCTTCCAATACGATTGAGAATAGAAATAAATGTCCATAAGTAACCACTGTTCTGTATGAGTATCCTCCCTCTTATATAAATGAAGTGAGTGTAAATTGTTTCGCATTCAATTGTCCCAAACCTCTGCCTCATTGAATGCACTTTTTCGAAACAGATCTTAAAGTGGTTACATATTACAGAGATGGAGAAAAAGAGAAACAGCTCTCCTGAAGCACATGGCATGAGCCATTTTGGAAGAGACTAACCTTGGTGAATCCTTTGGTGGTTTACGGAAAAAACAACAGTCCCCAGGGCCATTTCAGACAAACTGTTTTTTCACCTGATACTCCCTTCATGTTTCTTCAGGTTCATACATTTTACCAGATTTGTGCTCTGTTTACAGAGAAGCTTGTGTTGACTTAGCAATCCAAAGGAGTTTGGGCCTTAACTTGGGAATACGTGTGCACGAGGAAGAGCAATGCCAAGGGTAAGGAGGTGATCAAAGCCTGGGACCTTACATTGCTGAGGATGTTGCGGTGCAGGGCTGTGCCATGAATGTTGGAGCTCTCGGTGTTCCACAGACGAATGGTGTTGTCAGAGGAGCAAGTGATGAAGGAACCAGGGGGTAGGCATGACTGATTGTTGTCCTTCACCTCTGGATACATCTAAGGGCAGGTAAAATCAATCCCTGAATGAGATTGTCTGGTACCTGGCATCCTAGACACTGGTAGCAAGTTTCAAAACAAAATGAGATAAAAGGGCTGTCCTCTCTGTTTTGTAAAGGCAAGAGCCAGCCAGTTCTCCTAACAAAACCCTGTTTGCAGACCAGAGCTTCATATTCACTTCAAACAAACATTGACTGAGCTTCCCTGAACGTAGAACATGAAGCATGTAACAAGCCAGCATCCTTTGTTTCTAATAGTTCAAAGAGAGCACCTCAAAGACCATGCAACAACAACTTTGCACTGTTGTTCGCAACTTTCAACTACCACCGTCGATTTATATCCAGAACAAAAGGGTGAGATGCAATTAATAAATAATAACAAAAAGAATCCTCAACGTCTTCCCACTTTCTTTCCACTTTCCCCTTTCCTGACCACTGTTGGACATATTTCAACATATTACCAATTACATTGTTTCCTATATCTCCTTTCCTTCCCTCTGTCCCTGGGAGGGAAAGCCAACTAGAGAGACTGGAAGATGACAGCCACTTGATAAGCTAATTCAGGATGTCCTGGTAAATAGGTTAAGAACAGCAGAGTTGAGATTGTATCACTTGTTTCATTCTTTTGAATTTGGAGCACTTGCTCACCACAGACCTCAAAACAATTTTTTTGAGGTCAGCAGTAAACTCTTGCACATTTTGTGAAAGGAGCCCCTGCATTCAGCTTTGTCCAGTTCTGCTCCTTCTCCCACCTCTCACCTTTTAATGGCAAGATTTTTTTTTTTCCAGTAACACACTGCATCAAATGTGTTTGGTCAGCCATTGCAGCGCAGCCAATGAACTGTTCCTAGCTCCCAACTCAAGCCCCGTAAGTAACCACACTAACCACAGGAGGAAATTTGAGCCAATTCTTTCTCCCTGCAGTAAGTGTTTGCATTCAAATTTGGCAGGACTTCCTCAGCTGCAACTTGCAATCCAACACTTGTGTCTGCAGACAACATACCTCAATGTTCCACACGCAGGAAGAGTGGTACAATGCAGAGTACACCTTGCCCACTTTCTTCGGGTCTTTGACATCCCACACATACAGGCTGTGGTCATTGTATACACAGGAAAGCCACTGGTTGGTGGGGTCAAAGGTCAAGGCAATCGTGTCTGGATACTTCGCATCAGTCATACCAGAGAAAAGACGACTGCACAAAGACAGAACAACAGCCTGGTTAACTTGCATTCTCCCGCAGTCAGAGCAAGGAAGTGAAGCACAAGAGCTCAGATTCTCTGCAGGGCGCTGGCAAGGTGAACAATACACTATGGCACATATAGGTAGAGAGAGTAGCTGGCTGGCAATACACGTCTCTTGAAAAAACAGAGTCCCAAACGAAGCCTAAAAGTCCCACGGCAAAAGTCATTTTCCTTGCCATCCAATCCAGAGTCCCACCACAGACAGGCAATTGACTTTCTCTGAAGAAAGACCAAACAGGACACTTGATTGTCAGTGGAGATCATCACCATTTAACCCTGCATAACCAGGTGGCAAAATCCAAGTCAAATAATCTCAAAACAAACAGGAGGGGCAGGATCATCTTTTGCTGGGTACTATATTTTGTTTACTGATTGCAGCAACTACTCTTGTGCGTGACCAAGTCTTGAGTAAGTACTGCACTCAAAAGACAGGAGCACACCAGCACAAGGGACAAAGGAATGATTCATTTCAGCGGTCGCCTGTCAGACACGTTTCCCTTCCAGCCCCACGCCCTGTACACAGGCCAGCTTGGTCCTGCTTGCAGCAGCTCATGCGACGGGCAACTGCAGATGGGTACAATCCTTTCTAGATAGGCAAGCTCTCTGATGCAAACTTAAAAACGGGAATTCTGCAGAACAAGGAAAAACCTCTTTCCCCAGGTTAGACCAAGATCATGCCATGTAAACCCCGTATCTCCTCTACAGGGGTCCTCTGTTAAGTCCTGCTGCCATGCAGGTAAAGAAGGAGCTGTGCTCTTGACCTGAGGTGAACACAGCCCTCCCACAGTGCTGCTAATGGTATGGAATAAGGTACTAGAGTGCCAGGGTGCTGAGAGCAGGTAATTTAAAAGGACTGACGGAGATACAGGAATGAGAGCCAAAGCATATGTAGCACATCAGACAACTGGAGCCCCACTTCCGCAAGTGCAAAGCTTTGAGGGCTAGAAGAGCACATCCCAGATCCTATCAAAAAATCAAGTCATTGATATAGTTGTGGGCAGTTCGTTCTGGGCAACTGGCATCCCACAGAGAGGCTCTGGCATGCATGGGAATATAAGGAGTCTTGTGTTTTCAAGCTTCTTTGAAAGTGAAAAAAAAAAAAATTGTTAAGATTGCAATCAGTGCTACAAATACATATTTAAAAATCATATGAATATTTCTGCTCGAGTGATGCATGAGAGCAGCAGAGAGTATTTTTAAAGAGTCCATGTATACAATTGCCTAACTTTAGCACTACTAGAAAGTGCTAATGTTTTAAATTGAGAGAGTTCCTTTTCCAGCTCCCTTATTGGAATATCATTATCTCCCACTGATCTCCTGAAGGAGGACTATACAGTGCACTGTTTGAATCTTTACCTCAAGTTCTCAAGAAAAGTTTAGAGAAAACCTGTTGAAACACAACAAGAAAAAAAAAAAAAGAAGAAGGAAAAAAAAAAAACCCAAAAAGAGTATGTATCTGTGAACATGGGAACTCCATATATCCAGTGGGATGATGGCTGGTGGATTCATACACCTTTAGATTTCTTTTCCTACTACTGAATGAGGGCAACAGAAGAAGATTGGGAAAGCCTCCAACCAGGACTGGCAAACAACAACAGATGAAGGGTTTTCTCTAGCATAAGCCTCTGCAAGCTGTCAGACAGAACTGTACGGAAATCACATTACCCATCTCAGAAGGTGAGAAATAGAGAGCCAAGACAGAAAATACTGGAGCAAGGTAGGAAAACAAGACAACGAATGCACAAAATAGAGGGAGAAGAAAGACTACAGACAACCGTCAGAGATTTGGGTCTATAAAAGATTGCATGGGAGCCTTTGAAAAAGTGCCCCACGAGAGTCTGAGCATCTTGTAGCAACATCACTATATTGCTACAGAGGAGAGCCTTCGGCCCTTACCAGGGATAAGCAAACGATGTGCCATGGTACAGGAACAACTGAAGTGTGCCACAGCATCCTGTGCCCTCTGCCTGCTTGCTCATAGCAACCAATGTCAAAAGGACACCAGATCTGAGCAATCCCAAGAATATGAGGAGCAAGATATGCTGCACAGTCCAGCAACCAGCTTTGGGTTGTAGCCCAGCCACGCAAGGCAAGGCTGCAACAACTCAGAGAGATCTGCAACAGGCTGCCAACTTAAATCCATAAAAAGAGCACACTCTAGATGGCAGAGGTCTGAGGAACAGTTCTAACCCCCATGAGCCTCCCTTGCTCCCTTCCACCTCTCCACAGTACCTGGCCTCAGTGACACTCGCGATGTCTGTTCCCAGGAAGTGCGGCTTCGGAAGTGTGGTGACAAAGTGAAGGTTCAGAGGGTTAAAAATCCGCACGGTGCCATCAGCGCAGCCACAGAAGATGTAGTCATGATTCACAGAGATGCAGTTTGCCACAGTGGTCTGAGGAGGACACAGCACAAAGAAGGCAAATAAGCAATGCGCTCTCACTTCAAAGGTCACCAGACACACGACAGGGAGAACAGCAAGTTGACAGACAAAGGAGTCATGGTCAGAAGAGTGGAAGTGAAGTGAAGTCAAACGCTGGGAGTAAGGAAAAGCCTAAAAATCCAATTTTCCTCTCTGAGGAGCTTCCCAGCCAAGGTCCATTGCAGATTCCAAATGATTAAGGAAAAAGCCCAGTTCCTCTGCCACCCACTGTGGTGGGAGATCAGCAGAGCTACACAATTTCTCCAGCTGAGTCTTACTCTGAACATTGTTTTTTGTTCCTCTGTGACATTCAGCACCACGGGCAGGCCAGCAGCACCTCACCCTGTACTAGCACGCCAATACGTTACCTGTCACAAGGGGATAAGAAAACAAACAAATGGATTTTCTTCCCTCTCCCACTGGGATCTGTACAAATGGCAGAAAATGGTACAAAATGGAGCATGGTGATAAGGGGATGAGTTCAATGCAAAACTTTTTTCCAACTTACTGTGAAGCTGTCTGTATTCTGAGCGAGAGTGAAAGGCAGATTTTAGATAGAAAAGGAAAGGAAAGAAAAGAAGAGGCATTTCACTTGAGTGAAAGCATGGAAAGATTTTTCCCTTGATTTTAATACACTGGATCCGTTCAGGTGGGCATCCTACATTCAACTGAAAGGAAAGCAAGCACGATCACCTTCTTAACTATGGGCCAACCTGATGGTTTAGAATAGCCAAACAAACTAGCACCTTGGGGATCTGCATTTGAGATGCCCAAGCCAAGTAAGACACTGCAGAGTGGCTAGAAATCAGAATCCTAAAACTCCGACTTGTGCAGGCCAAGCCAGGAGGGACAACACAGGGGTTGCCAAAGCTACATAAGGACACTGCTTTGCCAGAAGGGCAGTAGCTGTAACGCTGAGGCTTGAGAATGAAAGAGACTCAATGATTAATAAAATCCCTTTGCCAAGAAGCAATGCTATTTTTGTGTGGCCTTCCAGAGTAAATCACAAAGTGGCAGAGGCCCAATGACTTTCACTGCTGGTGGTCAGCTTGCATTCCCTGAGTGCCCTTATTATTTGTTGTTCCTGCTCTGCTTCAGCAGGCACAAATATTGCAGGACAGGAGGATTCAAAACTCACCCTCAGCTCCACCCACTTGTCTAGCAGCCTTTTTTCATTGAATTCACAGAGCAGGCCTGAGGATGTGATACAGAAGGTGCTGTCAGCTTTTTTGCCCCTTCCACACGCTACATCGGCAAAGAAGTTGTTCCTCAGTTCTCCAAGCAATCCGGAGCGACCTAACAAGGGGACTGTAGCATTGACCTACCAATAAAAAACAGTGTGTTAGAAACAGAGCGAGGCACTCCAGGCAGGCAGACATTTTTTAGAACATCAACTCTTGAGTGCTGAAGTGCCTCGAAGAAAGAGCGCTGCAAACAGCCTACATGGAGAGGTAGTGACCCGTTTTACTTGCTGCAGACCCGTTGGTTGCACAGTGTATTGAGACCATCAGTATTAGCACATCAGTGGAACAGAACACTGTCAATGCCACCAGAACTGCGCATTCGAACATATGACCCAGAGACAGCAGATCAGTCACTGGAAGAACAACCCTTCTGTGATTTATACCAAATGCCAAAGCAGGGTCCAAGCATGAAGTAGGAACATTTGTTCATGAGCATGCAGAAGAATTACCATATGTGGATTCTGTCCCCCAGAGAAGAATAGAACAGCTAAAAGTTTAAACACTTTAGCCGATGCTTCAAAATAACATTCTCAACCTTTTGATATGACCATACCGACATCAAACAGCTTGCCCTTCCTCAGTGCTCCAAGGAGTTCAATGACTGCAGCTCTTCTCTAGGTTTTTTCGTCCTTCAGTACATGTGACTACTAAAGAACAAGCATGCTGCTATAGAACTCCAGGAGCCATGTCCCTACCTTCCCACGCAGGATAAGACAAGCTTTTGGTGCCACCAGCCCGTGGGGAGATTGAGACTTAAGAGCCAGGGATAGAGGGCTACCCTTGAATCCCAGAAAAACCAAAGAGTTCCCACTTCCCACAGGTCACTGAGGCAAAATCCACCCTGCCATGAGATGCAAACGCATGTTCACAGCTTGGCCTTGATGCACCTTCTCTCACCTTGGAGGTTTTGCTGTCATCCAGGTACCAGAACTTGATGTGTCGATTTCCAGCAGTGACAAAGTAACTGCAGTCCTCTGAGAATGACACAGCTGTCACTTTACTTGAGACTTTGTTGGCTGCCACTACAATGTTTTTCTGGAAATATAATTGTTTAGATAGCTTAATTTCTTTGCTCAGAAGCAAAGGAAACTCATTTCAATTACAGGCACATACTCAGTACATGTTCTACAGCAGGGAAAAGATGAGGCCCAAACTATTCCCCATTCACCCCTGAATACTTTCCCCAGCATTAGCTGGGAGCATTGATTTGGCAGATAGCACAATTCACATTTACATTCAATACCGCTTCACAGTGACTGGGTTTGAGAACAAATCAGCAGGCACTAGTGCCTGCAGGAAGTTGCCGTCTGAGCCTTGACATGTTGGTTTCACAATTACCGGGAGCTCAGAGCAAACCCATTTCCCTTTCTAAACAGCAAAAGCACACGTAGGCCAGCACAAGAAGGAGCTCTCCCAGCCTCAAGGCAACAATGAGGGCAAGGCACTCAAGATGGGGAACAGGTATTTTCCGCAGGGAAAACAGTACTGGTTCCTCCATAAATTCTCTCTTCTATTTAAAGACATGACGCTTTATCGAAAGACCCAAAATGTAAAAAGACCGTGCCTGTATTGGAAGGGACAAAGTAAAATCTGCTACACCTCAAATGTGTACCTCAAAACATCAAAGAGTTTGGGAAAGGAGGAAGAACACGGCAGGGAAGAAAACAGGAATGGAGACTGTCCAAGCAGAAATGGCAGGAGCTCCCTGTTCACAACACCAATGTTCAGTTTTCTGTTGTCTGCCTTTCCCCGAGGACTGGTGGAAATCAGAACAAAAAATTTTCCCCTCCGTCTGTGGTGGGTTTTCAACCATGCAGCATATGGTTGACAACACTGCACCACTTCTGATTCTTGCTCTGTTTCCTTTACCCCTCCTTTTAGAGACTTGGTTGCTCCTGGTCTTCCTGACATAATGCCCTAAGCACACAAACCACGTCACACTGAGGGCCCCGTCAGACAGCTAACAGAACTGAAGAAACCAGCAGCAGAGGAGTCTAGGCTGATGCACCATCACCACGGAGGACCCTCCAACCCAGACTGGGGAAAAAGCAAGGGAGACGGCCATTAACATAATTTCTTTCGAGACAGCACACAGAAAAAGCTTAGAACCCTTGCAGACCTCAACATCTGGACCATTGTTGTGGTCGTTCTTCAGGGAAGCAAGGGGATCCGACAGACAACATGGATTTTCTTTTCCATCACAGTCAAATGACTGAGCAAGTGTCCCAGCCAGAAAAAACAGAGAAATCGAAGCAGCAGCAGCACAGTAGATAGAAGAAGGGTTGTGGCTAGAAGTGCAGGAAAGTGCTTCGGGAGATCTGTTCTCACATCTTTTCTCTTATTCTTCTTTGACTTTGGTCAGGTAAAGTCTCTCTAGTTTTGATACCCAGCCTGCAAAAATAGAGGCTAGCTGGACCTCCCAATAGTCACAGTCTGGAGCGTACGCTTAAAGTGTGTGTTCTGCAGCACAGAAGAGTGAGACAGTCCTTACCTCACAAGCTCTCATGCACATAATTATAAATAGGATCACAGTGAACAGAAAAACCTGCATAAGCGAGGGAAAACAAAGCTACTTGTACTCAGTCCCACACATGCCATGCATTATGACCATCTCCAAGTCACTGCTTTCATTTGTATAACTAGAAAGAACCAAAACGCTGAGCACTCAATTTTCAACACTGACATACACACTTAGGTTTTATCACTACACAGTTCAGCTATAAAAAAAATAGCAAGGTCAAACTTCAGCTCATGCAGTGAGATCTTAAATTACAGCACAGGAAATGTGGTGAAGAGAGTAACATACTAAATGAGCACAGACTTACAAGCTGCAAGAGAAGAGAAGGCTCCAGGGAGACCTTATAGCAGCCTTCCAGTACTTAAAGGGGGCCTACAGAAAAGACGGGGAGGGACTCTTTATCAAGGAGTGTAGAATAGGATGAGGGGTAACGGTTTTAAACTGAAAGAGGGTAGACTTAGATTAGATATGAGGAAGAAATTCTTTACTCTGAGGGTGGTGAGACACTGGAACAGGTTGCCCAGGGAAGCTGTGGATGTCCCATGCCTGGAGATGTTCAAGACCCAGTTGGATGAGGCTCTGGGTAACCTGGTCTCATGGAAGGTAGGGAAGGAAGCCCTAGATGATCCCTTTGTTGGAAGGTCCCTTCCAACCCAAACCATTCTATGATTCTATGATCATAGGAGATTTAACCAATACATTGAAGTTTGGTTTAAATTGCATCTCTTTTAGAAAGGGTTACAGCACCTGAGGTAGCAGGAGCTGAGTAAGTGCTTAGCTTTTACTAATACGAAGACTCCAAGCCTACTGACAATAAATGTTTCTTTTCTCATATATAGAAACAACACACACTTAAATGTTTTCTAGAGGATAAGACATGGGCTACGTTTCCATAGAGTGCTGCCCCAACCCAGTGGCAGACAGTTACCTCCATCAGCCTACACCCCCTGCGATTTCTTTATGTTCCCTTTCTCAGTCATCAAGGATGAGACCAAAGTATCACAAACCCTGACACAACAAAACCAAAACAAGCCAAGAATATCCACTATACCACAAAAGAAATCCCTGACTGATGAGCGTTTCCTTCCTCAACCTCATAAATTAGTTTTAATAAGCCTCTAAAAAAGCACAAGGCATTGACAAGGTTTCAAAGCCCAAGCTTTTCTGACTGGACAGCAAGATGTCACACGTCTCCAAGCATAGAGAATATCCCTTCACTGAAGTGACTTAGACCTTCCCTAAGGGACCATAGCATTCTCTCATGTCCAAACTTGTCTGTGTCTATAAATGTCAAAAAACAAACAACAATAACAGTATTAGAACAAAGCAGAGAGCAAGATGGAACTGAAACAGTTTACAGACAGACTGTCCACTCTTTATATTTTAGCAGCACCCTGTGGTCCGCCCAACCTCCTGGAGAACTTACCTTCCATGACCAGACGTTGACAATCATGTCATGCTGGTACCCCACTGAAACAATGTACTTGGAGCTGGGGGAGAAGGCCACGCAGGCCACGCCATACTTGTGCTCCTGCAGCTCAGCCACCTGGGTTCTCTCAGCCACATCCCATACCCGAACTGCTGGCATATGTCCGCTCTGGAGGGGACAAGAACAGACACAGAACAGGATATGTAACCACCGAGGTCAGTTCTGACAGACTGAAGCACACACATATGCGAAGGCTCGGAAAAAGATGTCTAGATGGTGTTTACAAAACAGGGTTAGAAGTTAGAACTCAGTTCCTTCGACTCTTTAAAGCCCAGGTTGAGACTGACAACGTAAGAAGTATATGCAGGTGTCTGAAAGAATTAATATGATCTCCTTCGCTTTAATCCATTTCTTGTGCTACTCACAAATCAGCCAGAGACCAGAATACCTTTAATGTACATCCCTGATCTTTACAATGGGAACTCACAGCCAGCTCATGAAAAGGATTATAATAGATCATATCTTGGGACTCAGTGAACCCAAAGGCCCTCACAGTCTCTGCTCTTAACACAACGTGGACACTCGAGACCTCAAGCCAGGCCATGCCGTACAAAAACATGACATGCTGTTTTGATAACTATCACACACCATTTGAGAGAAGCCTCTGGGAGACTAGCAGCATTATTTCTGTCACAAAGGTGACAAACAGATGCATCCTACCTGATAGAGTATGGACAGGGTAGTGTCAGAGAAAAAGACATTGAGGGAACAGAGCCTCTCATTTTACACTTGTTCTCCAGAGAAACAGAAGGTCATAGACTTCAGAAATGCCAGTTCAGCACCTCCTGCCAGACAATTCTATTCTTTTAATTGTTATTAAACCAAAATAAAACAAGATGAACAAGATGAGATGAAATACTGGCCAAAAACGTGCCTGAGGGGCAAATCCTACTCAAGAGCCTGCTTATGATTTCACATTGAAGTCTGTCAAAACAGTAGCTTGCAAGATAACATATCCATGGCAACATGGCAAAATGGTACCTTCTCTGATCAGTTTTAAGCAAGTAATTTGTGTGGGAGAGGCAAGTCTGATCACCAGGAGCAGTCAAAGCTTTAAAAACTCAGAATCATGCATGTTTTAATTATCTTGATAAACAGCTTTGCCAAGTGACTGCTTGTGGCCTGGAAAAATGCCGTGGTCAGATTTTTACTGCAGTTGGTACAGTTCTCCCTCCTGCAAGGCAGAGCTCAGGTCTCAAGGTGGCCGGCAAGATGTTACAATGAGCTGAATCAGCTGCTTTTCAAAGTGCTGTACTTAAACACATACACATATATGTGTGTATACATATACACATATATATACATACACATATGCGTGTATATATATACACATACGTATATATTTCCAAGCGTCTTAGCATACACCCCAAAACTTTAACAAATTTAGTTCATATTGCATCATTTAAAAAAATGCTCACCAAAAGAGAGCTCTGCACGATTCCTACAGATAAGGAATCCACGCCTCCACGGGGAGAAAGGGGGATGAAAAAAAAAAAGAGAGGAAAAAAAAGAAAAAAACTCCCTCTGTATTTGAAATATTCAAAAGACTTTTAGTATGTGTGTCAGCCAAGGACTAACTTCTGTGGTCTCCTTCCTGAAAAGCCAGCCATGCAGAAAACTAAGGCGTCACTAGGCAGAATTAGCATGAGGCTGCTAAAAGTGAGCTTGACAAAGTGAACTCAGAAAGCATTTCCCTATGGAATCACCCACAGGACAGAGGTTGAACTAAGACGAGACTGCTGACACCAGCAGGGGACACTACTACACCAAGTAGTAACTCAAGTATCAGACACGTGGGAGGATACTGAAAAGAGAAATGGTCTTACAACAGGGCACGAGGAGACATGTTTTGCGACAAGGCAAAAAAAAAAGCCTTCAAGTATAACTGGAAAGGCTTTTTTTTAAAAAAAAAAAAAATAAATCTGAACTTGCCATTTGCACCAAATAAGTTTCAAACTGAAAAGTTTAAGTTGTCGGCAAGAAAAATACCCACTTCATTTTTCACCTCTTTTCCTACTGCACAGGAAAAGAATAGAGAAACAGAGATTAAAAAAAAAAAAAAAAAAGAAAGAAAAATAAATAAAGGCACCAAAATAATCAGAACTGAACACCAGGGAGAAAAAAAAAAGTATTATGTCTATTTATATATTACATATTTTAATTTTAATATAAAGGGGGTTTTATTACATTAAGACTTCTAGAGTAAAGAGGCATTAAAGAAAATTACAGCTATAAAATCTCATGCTTTCACTTAAAAACTAATAACAACAACAATCTCTGATGCTCTAAAAGAAAATTTGTGTGTACTTTTTTTCCTGTGTCAAGGTAGCCTCCATCCCAAAACAGCGTTGTTTCTATCCTTGGCCTGATCCATGCAGGATTCAGGCCCAGCTTGGGAGCCACCCAGTGACATGGCAGCTGTAATCACAGTGGCTGCACTAGGAACCTCTGGAGTGAATAGCCTCCGCCTTGACAGCTCTGACACAGGGTTGGGACATACTTCTCTTCGTTGTGGCTGAGGATCAGAAGTGGACCTGTTTCACACATGCTCCCTCCCCACGTCTTACAGACGCATAGACTAGCAGTAAATTACCATTAATCACACACAAGAGCAGACTGAGCCCAACCATACGGGGGACAGTCAGCATTTCTGTGGATTTCTAACATCCAGCAATTCCAACCTCATGACACATCTTAAACTTCTAATGCAGAACAGACAGAAAGTGCACTCATCCTTATTTTCCCCCTTGGGCATGTTTGGAAAGAGGAAGCAATTGTCGCCCCGAGCCAAACATACAATGCCAAACCACAGGCACCAGCATCTTCTGTCACTATTCCTAAGGCTCCATTCCACATGCACTTTTCACTTTTTCCACAACACTGTTACTGGCTTCAATTACTTCCTGAAATCCTAAAGGGACAATGCTAAACTCAGACCAATATTAAGGACCATCCAACAACTCTTCATTGATGCTACAGCAGAGCCAAGCTGTGTGTCCTTCCACTTATTTTCACTCTACCTTCAGCCCACAGACACCACCCCAGAAGATCCATCCTCCAAGCCGATGAGAACACACAGGAAAGCTGCCAGCAGGAGCACCCAGAGCCACCCATAAGCCAGTAGGTCCATCCAGAGATGCCCCACTGAAATAGATTTGCTTGTGTCAAGGCAGCTCACTGGCTTGTTTCTTCTAAGCCACCCTCTGCCCAGCTTCCAAATGTGATGGACAAGGTGTACCCTCTCTCCTCTCACACTTACCTCTCCTGTAACCAAATATTTTCCATCTGGAGAGAAAGCAAGTGCTGTAATTGTTTTCCTAAAACAGAGAAAATGACACTGAGAAACATTTCCAACATGTGATTTCATTTCAATACATCATGACTGGGGAGTAGGTTGGGATGAACTGGAAAGAGGCTAAAATCACACATAACAGTCTGACACAATGGTTTTGCTTTACCAGAGGCCTAACACTTGCCATGGGGATTCCCTGCTGCCCAAGTCTCAAGGATCAGGCCTACAGCACTGGAAAAGTTCCAAAAGCCAAGGTTCATCCTTCTGCCTTTATTCCAGATGCAGGACCACATCCTGGTCCTGGCTTCAATAACAAGGTCATAGTTTCAGACGGGGAGCGGGGCAGGGGCGGGGGGCAGAATCAGATACCATGGAGTTCTAGTAAGACTTCCTCCATGCCATACCTGTTAGCAGTTCCTCATAGGATGACAATGTTTTAGGTGGTGCCTCATCAACAACAGCACCTCACGTTAGCAGCAATAGCACCTCACATTAGAAGGAGCTGGAGTCAAACCAGCAGGCAGCCTCTCCCCAAGGCAGCTCTCACTGAGGGGATTCAGCCTGGAACAACAGCAGCTCCTGAACTTCACTCAAGCTGTAAAAACCTCGAAATTCACCTCCCACAGAAAGCAAGCCCAGCTTAAAGCTTCACTCACCTGGAACTGTTCAGAATATGGTGTTGCTTATTTTTTCTAGGGTTGAACAGCACAACAACACACCTAGATGGAAGAAACAGAAGAACAAAAAGAATTGACGTGACCTTGTGTATAAAGGAAACCAAAGAGTTACCTCTGCTGGCAGACCAGCAGCCCCAAAAAGCTATTTCATCCCCTAACCTCACAGGCTGAGCTGGGGTTAACCAGAAATTGCAAAGGAAAAGAGCAGCCCAGAGGGGAATCACAAATTTCTCCCATGTTGAGGAGCAACATGTGCTGGTACCATAAATAACTACCTTTCTAGCATCTGGGAGCCCTGAGTCTCTGATTGCTCAAACTGGACAGAAAGGTTAACCATGAAAGTTTGTGCAATGGCCCTTATGAATTATGTCCCCTGACATAAAAGTGAGCTGGGCACCAAACCAGCATGCCTAGAACACAGTAAGGAGGTCAGGAAGAAGGAAAGAGCGGATCTTTCAGAAAAGCTCCTGGAGGTGGGGAGAAGAAGGGGAGGCAAAGGGGCTAACTTTCGGTGCCTGGCCATTACGCTCCGCAGGAGAGAAAAACTGTTGAGTATAGCACAAGAGGTGGCTGGCCCGTTAAAAGGCGAGATATATGATGCCAAAAACTACTGACCCAAGACACGCATCTGAATAAACAACTTGCTCAGGGGCTCTGCAGAAATTTCTCAGCAAGATGAACTGCCAAAGCAACCAGTAGTAAACGCCTGGTAAGCAACGTAAACACCTCCACTGGGAGCAAAACAGTCGCTGACTGCGGGGCAGGGAGGGACAAAGGGAGGGAGAAGAGAGGCCCAACTTCCCCACTGATCTTGTCCATGGCACATTGCCTTGGTGCCTCAGCCCACCACAAGAAGCCTGGGGCAGTCCCAAATATTGGAGCCTTCCCCATTCCACAAACACCTTACACACACAACAGCATTTGTCTCATAGCAGAGAGCGGCAGCCACCGGTAGCAGAAAACACACGGCCCTTACTGCCCCCTCCCAAAAGGGTAACTGTTAAGTGAATAAAAAGAAAGGAAAACTGGTCTCAGGTAGAACAGCAATTGCTCTAATGCCCTTGTGCCGTATCTCTCACTTCATCTCTGAAACAGAAGTTGTGGGTTTTGCCTGTCCCTCTGCTAGTACGCGCTGTCAGTGTTGGGAGAGTGCCGGCTCCTCCTTCACTGCGGTGCCAGGGGAGTGCTGTGGGATGCCCCTGCTCCACTGCCAGCAGCCCTCGCTGCGCTGGGGACTTCACTGACGTCACCATAGCACTGGGGCTTGCCTGCAACACGTGCCAGGCTACAGACATCAGTCAAGGGAAGGAACACGAGGATAGACAAGTAGAGGAGTTGGCCTGAAGCAGCCAAGCAGAAAGGCAAAAGCTGAAGCATCACAGAAACCCATTGCAGCACCTCAACTACAGACCTCACCAACATTTCAACATGGGCAGGACACACTCACATGCAGGGCTTTAGCAGGACTGAGCACACCTCGGTGCCGTGCTGCCCACGACAATAGCCGTGTCCTTCCAGGCCCCTCTCCGCACTCCCAGCAGCAAGCAGGGCAAGCAGTGCTGCAGGCATGGCTCAGGGTTGATGGGGACCTATGACATCTCTGGCACCTCTTCACCTAGCCCGGGCAGCTGACCTTTCCCTTGAAAGTCCACCCTGCCAGAACGGGTGTAAATTTTGAAATGGAAAAGAGAGCAGAAGAGAGGACTGACGCACCAAGACCTTGAGCTCAGAGTCCTTGGCTGAAGCTGTCACACTCCATTAACATTGCTAGCTCAAAGCGGACACTGTCAGAGGGTACCAAAGCTTTAACCTCCAAAGTACCAACTATTGACAAGGTACGTGCCCTCCCATTAAACTATTCTTCTCCACCCATGTCCTACCCGAAAGGCCGAGGCAATAAAGGCACCAAGCTTTCTTAATAGTTAAGGCAGACAGCCACGGTTAGAGAGGTAATTTTGTTGAAGAGCAGGGAAAATGTAAATAAGCATTTTTTTCAAACTCAGATTGATCCTTCTGCACTTCTTACCCTGGGGAACCAATATGGAGAGTTTCAAGTCAAAGCTATGCTATATATTTCTGAGGGATTACTGTAAAGAAGCAGGTGGTTTGTGATCCATTAGCAAGTCAGAGGAGGTTAAGCCTCGCAAATCACAAGATATGAAATAGGAAGTTAGCAGATGTGAAAATCTATCTAATCCCAAGCCTCCAGCTAATCAGAAAAGCAAAGCAAAACCCCATTATGTGGAGTTGGATAGGGTTAATGGACCAAAATCTTGCCGATTTATGACAGGGATGAATTGTGCTCAAAATAAGCTTCAAAAAAAAAAAAAAACCCCAAAAAACCCACAGAAAGAATAAAGGAAAGAGACAAAATCCTGGCAAAGACTTTCCTGTGCGGCTCTTAAATTTGTTACTGTTTTATTGTGAGGAACTCTGCAGAAAAACAGGACTTCAGAGAATTGAACGCAGTCTAAAACCACAGGAAAGATGCAAAAAAACAAACCATGGTCTTCAAACCAGGAGAGAAAACAAACCACTTCCTAGAATAGTATAGTGAACCACGAAGGTCCAGGGCTTTACCATTATTAACTTACATGACAGAGCCTTTGGCCACTTACAATCATGAATTTTAGCTCAACCACACTCCAGAGTGGGCTGTCTGCTGGCAGGCTTCCTCCCTGCTTCCAAGTCCTTGGCCAAGTCCAGTCCTCACAGTGAAGGTAAGAACCACCCAGCTCACACAGCAAGGCGAATCGACAAACCAGTCCAAGAGCCACATGGCTTCTAGTGCCAGAGCAGCAAACGTGGATATTTTAACTGTCTTTAGCCACCCCTATGTTTTATTCACTGAGTTTGACCCATAATTAAAAAACTCAATCTGAAAGGGGCCAGGGGGGAAGAGGGAAATAAACTACAGTATTTTCTTCCTGGTCAGCAAGCATTGATTTATGCCACAAAAAAGTAATTTTAACTCATAGGCTCAGTGAAATAAGATTGCACGTGGTTACGTTGAGCTGGAAGCTAACAGCTAACACAACTTGCTAATTGGTTATGACCTTCTGTACCAATAAAGTCATTTAGCCAGGATAAACTAGTCTTCTGGACTTGCTTTCTTAAATTAGCTGCTACCCAACAAAAGCTACCCCACTGCTATGCTGTCCCATGCCGATTTTCCACCATCACTCTCCTGTGTGCCATACACAAGGACAATGAAGACTCCAGCCAACTCCAAGGACACATTATCCAGCAGGATAGCAGGCCACAAACCATATTTTACTCCGGGATACAGATGCTGTTCTGGGAGTCAGGAGCACCTGACTTCAAAAACTGGTTCCCTCTCAAAATGCTTGGGAAGGTGTCTAGTTCACTCCATCTTAGACAGCACACCTCCTCAACAAGCAGAAATTAACTATTTCTAGCACTTTAATCTCTTCTGAGTGTTCAGGGCGGGTTCAATTGACTGCTCAGACACTCACAGCTCAGCTCAGTGTGGCCCCAGAGCAGCTCCCTCCACCCCACGCAGCCAGCAAGTTGTTCTTCAGCAGAACCTGCAGCGGTTCCCCAAACAAGGGGGCTCAGAGCCCATTAGTACTCTGAGCGTGCTCTGTTTTAGCAAAGGAAATTAGTCTAGCAAAATAAAGGGAATGGAGACAATGAATGGTCAGATCACTGACCCACGTACTCCACGCTGCCTCCAAGTCCAGTAAGGCTACCAAGCTCTCAAGAGACTCAAAGTATCTACTCCTTTCTGTTTATGCTGGCTTTAATCTTACAGCAGTTAAAATAATAAAAATAATTACCATGGAAAATTAATTGCATACAAGAGCACACACCCACCTATCCATCCTCCACCTTTGTCTGCTCCTTTACAAGACTGCATTCAACATTTTACAGCCAGAGGGATGGAAAGGGCGTGAGGAAACAGAGCACTCATGTTTTTGTTCCTAGTTTCCAATTGTGGATGTAGACCAAGGAAAGTACTTCAAACCTACACTTCTATAATGGTCACATCACCTCTTCCACCCACCCCACCCCTTTCCCAAACTGAAGCTTTCAAAACAAATTCAAGCTCGCAAGACACCTTTGTCTGAAGAGACCTTTTTAAATGCTAGTGTCAACATGCAAACTAAGACTAGCTCCGAAAGCACCTCACATAGGACCTCTACAGAGAGAAACACTGACCCTGGCACACACTAGCTATTTAGAAGGCAAACATTGTTATCACCCTTGTTTCAGCACAAACCCTACCTCCTCAGCAGCTGCGGGCAGCGCTTGATGACCACAGCACCTTTTTAATCCTGAAGTATATTCGGATTTCCAAGACATTTATAGAAACTATTCACAGCTGTATGGATTACTGCTGTACAAACCACCTATCAGCCAGCTGAGACCAAGTGTCCTGTCTGTTTGCACGCTGGTGCCTGCTGAGGCCATTGTCAATGGCAAACATATTTAAAGGTATTATTTCTACGTCTATGATGCCACCCAACCACCTTTAAGTACACCTTCCTGATGCAAACAGCTTTTAAAAACAACTTGGCTGTGGAATCTCTCCCAGTTCTCCTATTTCTTGTGGGATGATCAGGTGACCTCAAACACAAGGGAAGGACAGAATCAGCTCTCACAGCAATGTCAAAGGTTTTTGCAGACAACCTGAGCTCTCTCCATCAGGAAGCCCATTTGGGACAGCCAGCCAGAAAGTGGTGAGAGGTTCCTTGTAGAGCTTTCCATGAAGGCACAGCCCTATCTTATGTGTGCACCATACATGCAGATAAAAGAAATGGTGTTGTTTCAAAGGCGGGGGGGGAGTGTCAGAGCAGTTTCCATTGGCTCCAGCAAGAGGAAAAAAATAAAACAAAAAATAAAAGAAGCAATTTCCCTAAGCTAAATATAGGAGCGGAATGGACAGGAATTGGACGTCACTATCACATTTACATGAAGTATCTGACTCACTAAGTCAGCAGCAGTGGGTCACTCTATGCAGCTCCCCCCACCTTTATGTCTGCCTTTTCCTCTACTGGCTTCACCAAATCCTAGTTCCT